TTCACCACATATAGAAAGAAAGAATACTTGTGGTACATTTCGTAATTTTCCTCCAAGAGAGTTGAGCGAATCTCGTGTTTGCGAATGATGGGCTAACTTTATCTGTCAGGCATGTGGGCCAAGTTGTGAAGGCGGGAAGGAGGAAAGTTTGAGGAAGACGAGAGAAGTGGGGAGACCTGCGTTCCCTGGCGCCTAAAAATGATGGAGGTGGTGAAGAAATGCGACATTTGTCAAGAGCAACAGCACGCTCTCCAGTGTAAGGACTGTGGGAAAGGTCAGGCATGGTTTTCTCGAGCTAAGCGTTAGATTTGTGAGGAGTTTGGCTGCTCGCGATGCCCACGGTCTCGTGGCAGATGTCGGTGAAACTCCTTGCTGCCATCTTGATAATTTTGCAGACTTGACATCTGGCCATGTATTGTAATCCGGCTGGGATTTGTTGAAGCCAGTCGAATGCCAGGTTTCTCCTTTTCGTTCCTAGGTGTGAAATGGTTGATTGTTGTTGCTATCTGTGATAAGAAGGATAGAAGTCCACAGCCGTCCCCGTTTGCCGAGGTATCAGGCATGTGGGAACAAGCACCTAAAGAGGCCAGTTATGTTTCCATCTCTGTTTGCGGAGAGAATGACTAGAAAACTGTGAATTATGGATTTCTGTCCTGTTGTTTTTGTGAACAGCCTTCCTCCCCAGGGACTGTAAAGAACTCCTGTCAAACCTTGAGCCCTCTGAATGAATGCATGGCCTTTTTCATAGACATGAAAACAGCTGTTTTGCATCAGAAGAAAAAGCAAAAGAAAAGAAAGCAAAATCTTTCCTTTCACATATACACATTGTTGATAGAATTGTTGCATGATTGGCTAATGGGTTGTCATTGTTTTGCAGATGACTCTGACATTATACTGCTATGTGAGAGCTGTCACCATGCCATCCACAGGGGAAGATTCTCTTCACACAAGGTTGATAATGCACCTGGACAGGTAGGTAACGTTACATGTGTGAGCTGGGTATAGAAGAGGGTCTGCATGGGGATCTTGGTTGAAATTTTATATTCAAACAGAAATAACAGTAAATAAAAAAAAATATTAATTGCTGGTTCCTAGAAGTGGTCATTGTCAGTCACAACCCAATGTTTTCAATTCTACTCAGGAAATTCGTGACTTCAGTTCCAGCCTAGACAGCTTCAAGAGGTACTTGTGAGACCTTTCTACTGCTTTTAAACGTCCAAATTATAATTATTATAATCTTTCTATAGCTCAAGTATCAGGGCTCAAGATGCTTCTGTTTTCTGCAACATGTTATAAGTATAACTACTGAATACTAGCACTAGCCCCGACAACAGTCTGGCACCAAGCTGCAAAAAAATCAGTCTACCTGTGAGCAAACTGTTTCATAGAGCATACCATCTAAAACCTGCAGTTTGCAGAAACAGTCCAGAAATTGAAGAAAAACATTACAATTTGCAATTGTGTAGACTTTTAAGTCTACACAATTGCAAATTTAAAAAGCATACAGGCTTATTATGCACTCACAATGAGGTTTATAAGAGATAGCTCCTTGGCTCCAGGGCTATGTGCCAACATGTCCCCAAGGAAATTTTACCATAGACACTATAGGGGCTGGGATGTGTTCTGGCCTGACAACAGTCTGGTATCAAGGCTAATTTTTTTTTAATCATTGAAGTTTTCTATGGGAAAAATGGCTTGTTCAGCTGTGTTTCTGGATCTTCCAGTAAGTCAAGTGAGCTGAGGAGAAGACTTGAAGAAGTTTGCAACTCAAGGAGGGACCTTCTTAAGTAGTGAGTAAAAGAACTTAGCTTGCAACTTGTGGTTGGATTTTATACTGTATCATCTAGACTAATCTAAGGTTAAGTTAATTCTGAGTTATTGTAAGGTTTTGTTTTTGTATTTATAAAAGGCATTAGAATTAAGCTGATTTTAAACCATTTCAAATTTTTGTTATTTTGTTAGGTCTCCATAAATATTCCGTATTGTTCCTCAGCATTATGTACTGTGATGCAACAACACAGTTGTTACAACACCTGACTGACCTGAGTAGCTAAAAAAACAACTATGAAATTACCATAAGTGTGATCCTAAACACCTGGGCTCTAAACTGTTGAATATGTTGACTATCCTGCAAAAAAAATTAAGATACTATCAGTGTTCGTACTTGACTTTATACCACAACATAAAATAAGTTGTGTATATATTGTATTCAAGTCATCATTGCAAAGCCTATCTGAGATGTCTACTATCATGAATCATACATATGTACATGTCCATTGAAAGGGGCACCTGCATTTGACTATTTTAAGTACCCAGATACACGAGTCCCACATCAAGGAGGTGGCCACCAAGTTGCAGCAGAAGATCAAGTCCCAGGCAGAACAGCTGCTGTCCCAGGTGCAGCAGGTGTCAGCAGAGAAGAACGAGCAGCTATCAGAGTGTGAGGAGATGTGCAGGGACGTGATGACGCAACATCAGGCTGTGAGTAGTATCGGCTGTCTTCAGACACAGTCACGTCCATTGTACAATTTTTCTAGCACTCTACACAATGACAGAAATGACTATTGACAAATATCCACAACACATCCACAACAGTCCCTGGAATCAATGTCCTCAGTTGTTTGCTTGTAAACCTATCATTTATGACAGAGACTAAGAAGGCATTACAGTGGTATCTACACAAAAATGTAGAAGTTTCTCTGCTGAGTAAAACTCTTCAGTATGCTTTACAACAAAAACTAGTGACAGATAAGGGTAATATAAGAGAAAAACTTGGTACCAAAGTTTATCTCTCCAGGGCAGCAACCTACATGTATATCCGGAGCTGTAACCTATACTATAGGCTACACTCTATACTATGGACTACAATCTACAACCCATGGACTCTGATGATGACAAATGTTGTTTTCATCTTATTTACAGCTGTGTGAAGAAGCTGATGGAATTCTTGGAAACCCTGACGACAGCCTTCAGGACAAGACACAGAAAGTAGCAGAGTTCCAGGGGAAGGTGAAACTACAGTTCTTTTAAGTCACTTTCCTCTGAATTTAAAAACTCAGAGGAAAGTGACTGAAGAGGTGCATGTAGTGTAATGTCATGGGTAACTTAAAACTCAGTCAACACCTTTGGAAGTACAGAGGAATATTCAATGAATGATACTGGTTGAAATGTTGTCATTGTGTTGTAACGGAACATGGCACTTGGAAACAATGAATTAATGTTAACCTGACATAATGTCTCTCTGTGTAAAATGTATTTCATTGTCTTGGTTTCAGCTGGAATTGCCCTCACTCAAAGAGTTTGAGACAAAGTTCCCAGACGTGCGTATCCAGCTTGTTTGTGATGTCAGCTCTGTTCTGATTGCCATCAGTGAATGGCAGCTCACAGTCACACCTGCGCCATCAGACAACATAGGTCAGTTCTACTCTGTATGATACTGTGAATACATAAAATTGGAGTTTTCTACCAAAAAGAAAAGAGAAAACTTGCTTACTGGCTTTTAAAATATGGTGTTGAAGTTAAATTTGACTTAAATTATCTAAGGAGATTCTTAGCATCTTTTTATCTCGAAATAATTTGTAACTTCTAATTTGCATAGAAATATTTTTTATCTGTGCATCCAAGCAGAGACGGAAGTGCGAAGCACTCTCCAAGTGACGAGAGGAGGAGAGCTGTCAGTCTGGGTGGAGAGCAGGATGTCTGCCAAGGGTGTTTTCTACGTTAGACAGGACCTCGATGTACCCACCAGAGAGACACTGTCAGCGATGTCTCTTCATATTAGGTGAGGGATCATACTATCATGAAAGTTCATCTGTGTTGGTAGTTATATGTTTAAAGTTATAAAACATCTCATATAAAACATCTCATCTGATCTAAATTTTCCTCAATCTCACACAAATGGCCTGAATATCTTGTGAGTGTGTGATGAAGTACAGTTTGTTTGACTGTGATTGCAGGAGAGCCGGTGTGCTGGGGGCTCTAGGAGAGTGGACAGGTGGTGAGGGTTCACTGTGTGCTGTCAGACATCCGGGGGACATGGGCTGGTACCGGGGACTCGTGGAAGAACTCAGGAAGGTGGGACGGTCTTACTAAACGTAGTAGGACTTCTCTTAGATGAACCCAGTCTTGTTCAATCAGGGTTTAAAATACTTGGTGCATGTGCACCTTAGTGCACCCAAATTTGGAGCTGTGCACTCAATTTTTTTCTGAAGGTGGACCAGTGCACCCAAACTTTTTTGTAGGTTTAAGTATGTCAAGATGTGTAGCAGTATACAGCATACCCTTAACATCTTAATGTCAGAAAAATAATAAAATCATTCTTGTACTACTTTTCCTTAGAAATTAAACATAATTTATTTTTGCTGACATTCTACTTATTTTATATGGTGCACCCAAATAATTTATTGTGCACCTAATTTTTTCAGGTTGGGTGCACCGAAAAATGCATTTGATCCCTGTCAATAGTTTGTTGTCTGGTGCAGAATATATATTTGTTGTGTGGCAAAACTTTTTCTCTGTTGTAGATTTATAAATGTGCTAATGATACTGACTTTATCTTACACTCTATTGGAGAACTTGCTGTTAGATTATTTCTGAAATCATTGTTACTGAAGTTTTATATTTGCTCTTGTATGAAATGTGTCATAGCTAATCAGCTTCTAAAATAGCATTGTGAGTGCCTCAGTTTTCCATATACGAACAATATCATATGTCTACCTTATCCTAGGACAAAGCGGCTGTACGCCTACTTGACTATGGTACTGTGGAGACTGTCCCTTTAACCAACCTGGCAGAGCTGCCAGCAAACCTGCCAACACTACCATTTCAGGTTAGAGCTCTGCCTGTGCCTATTGTACTGTATGTGAATGAAAGCAAGAAAATTCTGATAGTTCAGGGGTCTTTCAGAAGATAAAGAGGCAAGACACCAGTTGGACAATAAGACTCCTGATGACAGTTTTTTTCATTTGTCTTAAACTTTGTTATAAACAGAATCAATGTAGCCCATATGTGGAAAAATTACTGTGTTATCAGTGAGCTTACTTTTACCGTGCCAGGCTGTAGCATGCACATTCTTCAAGGACGAGACAGAAGAGATTCCCAGAGAGGCCAGATGGCTGTTCTCAGACCTGGCAGCACACAAGAAGGTCACATGTACTTTTGAAAGAGAGGTATCCACCATTTGCATCAACACTCAATGTTACCTGATGTTTGATTTCAAATTGTGCAGTAGTAATTTTTAGTGATTAATTTTGCTCTCTTACAGTCTGACAGAAAAGTACAAAAACATTTCAGGACATAGTTTTATTGTACCACCAGTATATACAGACACCTTATAGATGCAAAATGTAGATAGAGTTTTTATTTTATAGTTTACTTGATTGTGTTAGATAATATTTAGCTGGGGCAATGACATCCTCTTGCAGATGAAGTCAGACACTCCGGTTCCCTTGTGGAAGGTGGACCTACAGGATGTTGATGGGAGTGTGAACATAGCTGAGAGAGTCATCACAGCAGGTAGGCAAATATACTTGTCATGTCTTATCTTACAGGTACTTTAAATGTGGGTCTGACATGGAAGCTAGCTGTTAATAACACACGTCTATCAACTTTAGCCTGAAGCATATTAAGATCCATAGATTCAAGTGAAAAGGCACATGTATTTGTGCATAGTTGTAAATATTTTGCTGGACAAACTTGGATTTCATTTTCTCCTTTTTCCCCAACAGTGAAAGACAAGGAAGCAAAGTCAGAGGTAAGGCAATTTTGAAATTCCAACAGATACATGTAGTACACACTATTTTTTTGTATAGATGTAGATGTCAGCACATACCAGCTTTTAACCTTTCATTTACATGCACATTGTACATACACCTGTATATGCCACCTAGGGCTGTGTACCTAATACCTAACAGTTAACAGTTAGGACATGATAGATTATAGATGATTGACCAAAATTGCTTAGGTACAGGTTTTTGTTTGGTACATAGCTCTACAAACCAATTTGTAGCCTTACCTATACATCATGTGTACATCATGCCGCCACACATGATACACTTCCTGGGTCTTACACTTGTAGACAGTGTCATGTCGGGACATCAGACTGAAGGAGAATGCAGAAGACGGAGGAGCACTGACTGTCATCCGCACCAACGCAGCAGCCAAGGACCCTTCACCAGAACCCTGCAGGAGTGACAGCCCACAGATGGTACATATGAAATATATTACATTTTGTATAACAAAGTCTTCTGATACTATAATATCCATGTTTTATACCAACAGAATTTGATCTGACTCGTGTTTAAGAAAATATTCATAGACTGGAAAGACATCACAAAATATGTGTGCAAGGGGAACGTTTGTAGACATAATTTAAAACTGTTTTAAAATTTGTCAGATTCAGGGTTATGTTAGGGTGTGTGTGTTTGTGTAAGATCATTTTAGACATACATATGCAGCTGTGTAGCATATTACAGGAGTAAATACGTTGAATTCAGGTTTATGTTAGGGTGTTTGTGTGTGTTTGTGTGTGTGTGTGTGTGAGTGTGTGTGTGTGTGTGTTTGAGAGATCAATAAAAACCTTCAGTTGAGACCCTACCAAATACATGTACTATAATTGATATTAAATATTTTCTCTTTCAAGACTACCTTGGATGTTGATAGTGATGTATTGACTGGATGTGCTGATGAGGAAGATATATCCGTCCCTACAACTATGCCACCACAAGCAGCAATGGAGACTACTTCAGACTTCACATCAGAGGGGTACAACAGCCTCACAGAGCAGACCTGTGTGCAGGACACTTTCGAGGCAGGAACAGTCAGTGACAAAGAGGTCAGGACATGTCCTGAGGGGAATGATGAAATGGTACCGTCAGTACCTGTACCCCCACTGGAAGAGGAGATACATGTATCACAGGGAGCAGACACAGTTGAGTCCTGGGTTCCCAACAAGCCAGCATCAGGCACAGGTGTGTTCACAGGGACTGTGCCAAGGATCTTGGCGAGGGGAGAGCCTTATTTCCCTCCTCAACCCACATCAGAGAGTGGGAAGGGCACAGCGTTAGAGTCTGTACCAGATACGGGATCAAGCAGTCAAGGGAAGGGTGCGGACGCAAGACCTGCCATTCCAGATGCTTCCAGGCAGTACCATCACACCTCAAGGGATGGCAGCGGATTGGATAGCTTTAGTGACATGTCCACAACCGAAAGGAGTCAACGCATGAATCCACTCCATCCTTGGGAGAGAACATGGCATGGCCGTCAAGGGGATGCACATATGCAACAAGAGTTCCGCCCGATCCCTGGTCCCCAGCCCCCACGCTCCATGTACCCACCCCCGGGAATACCTGCCCCTCCACACAGGCACTCAGCCATGAACCGTCCGCAGCACCACTTCACTCCAGTAGGGGGCATGCCAACACCCGGAGACCCGACTCAATCCTGGCAAGGCAACATCTATTCATATTTAGAAGGGATTGTATCATCGTGTGATGAACAACTTCAGCCATACCCAGGAATGGATGAACACAATGGCACTGTGATTCCACAGACTACACTCGCTGCACCCATGTCTGGGTTCCAGGATTTTGGTTATAATAAAAGCAGGGAGGGTTTTATTCCAATAGATGAATCTATCATGTCAAAACTGACCTCCTACCATGGCCCTCAAAAGACTTCTGATGCCTGGTCAAGTGTTTCCAATGGAAACAGTCCCCCTGACAAGTTCAGCACCAAGGACAGGCCCATGGCACTCGCTTCTGCAGCTAATGTTGAAGTTATACTGAGCAGTGCTGACAGTGCCATGGAGTTAGCAATGCCAGTTGACAAGGAGTCCTGTTCGGTGACAACGGATAAACTGTACTCAGATGGTACTGGTGATGTAAAACAGGAAACTGATCTGCCAGCTTCTGTATCTTCCGTTGAGAGTAAACAGGAGGAAGCTGATCAGACAAGTCATTCTGGTTGTATCTTGACAAAAGAGGAAACGTGTCCAACAGAAAGCACAGTTCCTCCATCATCAGATGCTGTACCGACAACATCATTGTCTGCAGTGGATGTCGGCTGTATCAAGGAAAGACCTGGGAGCAGCCAAGCTATTGGAGGTAACTCTCTAAGAGAGGAGACCACAGAAGTTCAGCCTGAAGAGTTTTCTGCATTTGGTAACTCCATTTTGGAAACAGGTAACCAGCCTGGAATTGCATTAGCGGACAATCAACACACAGAAGGGCTGTCCCCGTCAGCTATGTTGTCAGATGCAGCGAACATGTCGGCGATACCTGACTGTACTTCAGCAGCAGCCATGTCCATGTCGTATGGAAGTCCAGCCACAGAAGTTATTCCAGAAGTTATCGCAGCTTCTTCAACGCAAGAAATAGACCCACAACCTCAGCCATCCTTACCAAATGGAAGTTTGCAGCATGGACATCAGAACATCCCAGAACAAGCTGCTGCTTTGGTGTCATCAACAGAGGATGTTGTAATTGAAGGAGAGGTCCTATCTGACGAGTTTTCCCCAGCCTCGGATGGATATGACTCCCCTCTTCCAGTCAACCCAGTACTGGCCGAAGGAAATTCAGACAAGTCCTGGGTTTCAGTGAGTGAATCACTTGGTCATGCTAAAGACAACGTAGGAAAACTCTTACCCAGAGCTGAAGCTAATGAGTGCAGTCTTTCCGTGGACTGTGGCAGCACTGATGTCACAGACACAAAACTTCAGCCTACTGGTGTGATGACAGAAACAACCTCAGTAGATCATACATATGCAGCTGTGCAGCATATTGCAGATACTGCAGACAAGACAGCAGAAACGTCATCAGAAGGGAGTGCTGCCAAACTTCAGGACTGTTCCACAGCTACATGCAGTGGTGGAAACTCAGGAGAGGAAACAAACCCCGGCTTGTGCAAATCATCAGGAGCCAACTGTGCCAGTGACATCCCCAGTGCCATAGATGAACAGAAAGAGAACTCAGGAAGGTTAGCTATAGTTTTGCCTGAGATGCAAGTGACTGAAGATGGTGCAGGGATAGGAACTTCCAGTCATCCTAGTCAGCACAAGGACAGTCCACTTGACAGGTCCTCATGTATGGGGACATCGGGATGTTCCGAACCCACTGCTGACCTGGTGGTGGAAGATACAGACAAACCAGCAGTAGTACCAAATGAGTCTCTGAAGGAAGGCTTTGTGACAGGTAAACTTACAAAACCTTTCTGCACACCTTTCGTCACCAAGTTTCCCACTAAAACATGTATCATTATGGGTGAATTGATCTAGATTCTGGCATATTTCATTTAGTTTGATCCATTCAGGTAGTGTGGAAAAAGGGCTGTTTTGTTTCAATGGCACGAATGGGAATTTTACAAGTTAAAAGGACATTGTTCCTGCTTTGAAATAAAGAATTGTCTGCTTGAAAGTAAAAAAAAAGAGGGTCAGAAATAAGAAATCAGGATGAAAGTCAGGGCTTGTATGCAGAGTGGATGGACTGAAAATAGTAAATATTGACATGTATTTTATTACATATTGAATTGTTTCAGGTGTAAATATGAAGGCATGTGTGGCCCATCCTATGGAGTCAGATGGTTCGTTCTGGATACAGAACAGCCCTGCAGAAGACAAGAACTATAAACTCATGATGGATGAAATTAGGTGAGCAGAGGCACAGGAACATGTACATTCTGTGTGCAATGTTGTAGATTCCCCATTCAGGAGTAGACTTTACTAAGCAGTTGTGATTGTTTCATGTAGAATTGCATATGCATGTAGTAAACTATGCTGTCTTGAATTCTGTTTGATGTTTTATTAGAAATCCATTAGATTAGACTTGAAAATCCAACCTACTCGTCTTGGACTTAAAAAAAAACAAAAGTGTACATATAACGTGTTACCTGTACAATGTATATGATAACAAAAGCACACAACACTTACACGTACATTTGTAAGACTTCAGCTTGCATAAAACTACATAGTAACAAGCACTTTTGTGATATTTCAGAGAATTGTGTATTTTTGTAAAAAGTACACTACATGTACTGGTATGCTGGATTGGCTCCTGTGATATTTTAGAGAATTGTGTATACCTGATATAGTAAAAAGTGAGCTATGCTGGTTTGACTACTGTGATATTTCAGAGCTGAAGCCCCCCTCATGGAGGCAGTGATGGAAGAAGCCAGCTGCAGCCTGGGGCTGCCGGTGTGTGCCGTGTCTGCCCAGGAGAACATGTGGTACAGGGGGAGGATTGAGAAGAAATTCAGCAAAACAGTAAGTTATCTTACTGCACTTCTTCATTATGTTTACCTTTTTTAAGTTTGCAGAAGAAAAACATATTTTTGGCTATGTTTCTTCTTCCTCTTCTTCTTCTTCCTCTTCTACTTCTCCAAACAAACTAAGTAAATGAGCTGGACCAGCAGCCTTCTCAAAACAAGCCGGCTACCGGCGAAAATCGCCGCCTACTCAAATTTTTGCGCCGGCTACTTTCGTGTAAATTTTCAGAAAAACACTGTAGTCTCCGTTACATTTTCGCAACTCCACTCACCTGCGTTCTGATTGGATAATCGATGTGGCCAGCAGCGCGGGAACATTTTTCTTCATCGGTGCAGAAGAGAGACACATTTACGCTGCTTTCTACGTTTTTTCTACGACTACTAAGCAACATCCTATTAAAGAAATGCATAATTAAAAGAATTTTCGGTAAGATATATATTTCTCTACGCCGATTTTTGGTCTTTTTCTCGTAATATTCTTGTTCAAGGAACCCGGAAGTCAGTGTACCGGGACGCGGGGTGAATTTCCATAGGGCATTTATGGACCGTCAAAACAGAAACAAAACTTCCAAAAAGTGAACCTGTGACATTTTTTTCAGATCCCAATGATTACGTTTTCAATCAAATTGACATTTAAATATGCTTTCTTTATTTTTCTGCATTTTGTAGCCGGGCGCAAGGACCGCGCGTAATACGATCGGAGTGGCAAACAATACAGCCTTTTTCCGGAATTATTTGTGCACGAACAGTAAATTTTGGAGCCATAAGATTGCCATAAAAGCTGCTCAGAATGTACCAAAAACGATGTTTAGGGGTCTAATTTTTATGATTTCCGCTGCGCGGCTCGCTTCGAGCCACTTCGTGGCTCGCCTGCTACTTTTTCTTATCAGCCACCTACTCCAAATTTTTTTGAGAAGGCTGACCAGATGTCTGTCACCATGGTAACTGGTGCTGTAGCAGACACCCTGTGGTGTTGGGTTACATTATGTAGTAGGACAGAGTTGGAGGGGCTGGTCATCATTATCCAATTTCTTTGCAAATGTTACCTTTCTAGTGGCACACAATGTATCTGTTTTTTCTCACTAATGTTCATCACTATTTCATGCCCTCTATTTGACATCCATTCAGGAAAACGCGCTGTAAAATTTCAAACTTTGTTGTTTGTTGTCTATCACCCAGGCCCTAGTGCGATTTGTAGATCTAGGCAAAGCTGAAGAGATTGCTTATGTAGACATCAAGCCTCTGCCTGCCAAGTACCAACACATGGACTTCCAGGTAACAGTGAATACCATCAGGGTTCAGTTTAAAGATTAATAAGAAAGAAGCCAATATTTGTTTTAGCCACATCAGATATTTATTCAGTTAAGAGTCTCTTTTGAGCCTTGAAAGTTAAGAGGCAAATTTGATGAGGAAGATGTACCAGCAATGTTGTTACACATTGACTTGTTTTCCTTTACAATAAACGTTTGACTGTTACAATTTTCGAGCAAATGTCGAACAAAATACTTGGTAGAAGAAAGTAGATAGCTCATAATTGTGAAGAGGAAAATTGGTTGTTACATGTGGCTGTCTATTTTCCAGGTACAGAGGAGTTGGCTTGCAGGAGTGAACACCGTTCTGAGTGAGAAACAGGTGGAACTGTTCAACAAACTCACAGCCAATAAGAGAACACTCTGGACACAGGTGGTAAGTCATACATTGTGCTGTCTGGCCAGTTTTACATGTATCTGCTCCTGTCTTGTGTCTACATAAGTAGTAAAGATTGGTGGGAACACTTACAGTATACATGCTGTTGGTCATTAGGTCTCTAGAAAATTCATATTGGCCCATGCCAGTTTATTGTATATGCTAATAGAGTGCACTATATACCTGAGACCTTTTAGAAATTAACCGCAAAGACTAGATTTTGGTAGATATATCCTCCTGTGTCATAGTCCTAACTGAACTTAAGAAAACAATTTTCTTCGATTATTCAAAGATCGCTTTCTCTGATTTCTAAAAGCCCTGTACATGTAATTTGTCACAAGTTATTATCAGATGTTATTTCCATATTAGCTGCATGTAGTCACTTTTGGTAGTTTATTATGTGTAATTTAGGAGTTTATTAAGAGTACCTTTAGTAGTTTATTAAGTGTACTTTCAGTAGTTTATTAGGAGTGTACTTATCTCTCCCTTACCAGACCTGTGTTCGTCCCATCTGGAG